TCATTTGACCCGTTTAATTGTGCAAACGTCTACTTATCTGAACATTTCTTTATCTAACTAGGTAGACGTTTAAAGAAATATTGTTGCGCAACTGAAAAGTATATACCTACACCGAAGCGCGCGTATACGGCTTCCGGAAAATAATGAAAAGGTAATCTTCCTTCCCTCTTAAACTCCGAGTGGCGTCAAGATAGAGTCGAAAGGTGGTCAAGACACACAGCTGCCACTTTTCTGTAAAAATATTAAATTCAAAATTGGGATAAATACCATCTCTTAAGGAGGTCTTAGTAGGGTGATGGTTAATAAAAATTTCGAAGTTTACGTCACCATTTCATCAGTTTAAAAATTTGTGCGTGGTACCGATGCAATACTACCTAATTAGATAAAGAAATGTTCTGATGAGAAGATGTTTACAATTTAGCTCTTCTCGTATCTAAATAAAAAAAAAATTCAAACTGCCTTTGAAGTCGAACTTCCTTTATACTCCCAAGTTGCCAAATAAAAGTCTCCTTGAATCATTTCAAACCTATTTTACTTGTATGTGTAAGACTTCCCTCTTTCGGGATTTATTAGTATTTTCAACATTTAAAAAAAGTCCACAATTTTGATAAAACAAAAAATACAGTTTTTTAATATCCACTCGTCTCAATAGTCCCACATTAAGTACATATAGTGTGATTAATAATAAACAAGGTCAAGTATTTAAATTGAATGCGAATTTACAAATGTTAGTTTTCTGCAGGTCGCATTTTGTGTACTATAAACACATCATTTTTGTCCTTACTAATAAAATTTTCAACTCAGAAGATTTAATACAACCCTGACATTCACGTAAATTTTTCATCGGCACATATTAACTGTGATACACTGACGAGGGTCTTTGCCAGGAAAATGTCATTAACATGCCACCCGATTTTAGCAGCTTATTCTAATTAAAAGAAGGTGAACCTTGCGTGAAGAAACGTCTTGGATAACAATATATACTACTTTATTACAAAAAGATTCAATGAAACCGTACGGAAAATAAAAATTTAAGAATAAGCTTATTTCGTTTTGCTCACTGCAATGTAAATTTTTATTTTAAATTCTTTTTAAATGTGTAAATTAATAGTCGCATTTTAAATTAATTTATTGGGTCATTTATTAATATTATAAATTACAAGTATGCTTTCTTATAAAACATTGTACAAAAGTAAATGATTGGAAAAAGCTCTAAAAGATAAGTTAGATCAAGAGCGCAAACAAATTAAGGCGGGAAAAAATATTGAGGAAATTGCGGCGGTAAATTACGCAGAGTCACGTAAAAATTACGTTGAAAAATTTGACATTATTTCGGTTAAACCACATATAATATATAACAGGAGTATTTATTGTTGTTATTATTATTATTGCAACTGGGACAAAGGTTGTTTGCAGTTGTAGAACATTTCAACTAAATCTTCACCATTTTCACTTTAATGTTAAAAAAAGTAGTAAAACTTTCTAAACTAATAAATGTTCTGCCCCTAGCCTGGAAAACTCCCGAAGTTTACGGGAACGTAACACACAGACGTGTTAAAGCGCTAACTACTAGCGACAAAAATAATGCTACAATGTAGATAATAATAATTAGAACCATAAATATATTATAAGTTTGATATTATCGTCTAGAGAACAAATATTGTTGTGTAAAAAAAGAAATAAATGCTATTATAAGCTCGACACGCAAACATGATACCTATATTGTTCAGTTTATACAAACATAAACTTGTGTATAATTTTGAAATAAACTACAAAGATCCAGAGAGATTATAAATGTTTTTACATCAATTTGACGGTGACTATACATTACAAAATCAATTTGTCACCGCTTTCAAATAAGGGATTTTCAATCGCGGATTTCAGGCGAATCGTTCCGCATAAATTTGACATTTGACACAATTTCCACTAATCAAATCCGGGCTCAAAACGAAGCGTGAAGTATAAGCCAACCTGGACACAAACATTTGTAATTGCCTTACGAGCTAACTCCCAGTGTTGCTGTTGTATCCCTAAGCAGTTAGTACGAATAAATTCTTCAAAAATGTTTACGATTTATATCCTCTGGCAGAGTTTCAATCTTCGGATTTATCGGAAGCAGAAATAAATTACGAAAATCTTGTTTTTCAACCACAATACAAAAAAAAACATTTATTAGAACTTAATTTTTTTATGCGTTAAATTGATGCGACTATCCAGCAAAACCGACAGTGGTAAATAACCGGATTGTGCTTTCGGATATATCTAACTAAACAGGCTTGAAGATGTCTGCTTGCGCAAAAACGAAATCAATATTACCTTTGCTGTTATAATCACATTATGTGTTGTGATGTCAATACGAGCAAAATTTATTTTGCCTTTAAATTTTATACATCGTACATTTCGCTCGGTTTGGTATCGATGTGGATAACAAGGGAAATTCAATTTCAGGTAAATGAATTTTGACGCTGGCCAAAGGGTAGAACATTAGAGATTTATATTCGGGAACAAATAAAAATAACTACGAACACGTACGTGGTCACAAGTTACGGAATTACTAAAATAGGAGTGATGGGGGTGGTGGTAGGCGTAATTCGGCGTCCTTTTTATCCACTAGTTGATTAACAAATTGGTCGAAGGTTATTTCGACACAATATCCAGCTTTTTCGAAAAATTACAAAAATTGATCTTGCGAATTTTATTTTTAATGAGAACCCCTCTATCTAGAGCATTAGTTGTAGCAGAGTTAATATTAAAAGAAATATGTTGGCGAGTATTTAGTCGACGTACAAGAAAATTAATTTTACCCAAGAGCACAGTCGGTTCTATTCTGAAGATGATTATATAAGAAGCGAATCAAAAGCATATTTTGCCGAGCATGCAGCGATGTAAAATTAAATATCTTCAAAAGATCTGAATGTTCTACAACACGTGGGGGGTAAACACCGTCTTGTAAGAAAGATAAGAATTTGATAAATTTTCTCTGCTCCCTACTCCAGTCGATATAAATTGGGAAAATATAGCTAAATTTGTAATGGTCGATTTTTTGCATAAAACCATGCTGACTAGATGAAATCAGTAGCTTCGTCAATGAGCAAATGTGATAATACAAAATTGCTTCGAAAAGCTTTTGATTCTGTTGACCAGTCTTAAAAATGGGACAAATATAACCCTTCTTCCAAACTGCTTTAGATGGATCAGATAACTCATTCCCTTTGTATATCATAAGGCTTGGAATTGTAGATGTTCCTTTTTTGCTTTGAATAAAGCTCCAGAACTTTTTGAAATCAACAGAAATGCATTGTTCTAAGTCGGATAAGTATTTTTGTAAGCAATCTTAATAAGTGCTGTGGGGTGATCAGGTGATTGAAACAGTACTTGCGTTTTGGCGTATTTATTTTGATATTGTCGGTTCAGCAGATGAGGGAAGAGTCCTGGAGTTTGTGAAATTGAAATGAAAAGAAAGGTCGGTAGAAGGCGGTGAAAACAGTTGTGTCTAAAGGGTTCTTGGAAGGTATTCGAAATCTGGGAAAGCATAAAAATTATTGAGAAGGGTGAACAAAAGATAGTTTTTACGACATCCAGGTGGACGAAGAGAAAGTTTCGGGGTGATACTGGTTGCAAGTAATTAAATACAGATTATATACAAATATACAATTTTGTGGGACTTGACAGCCCCCACAGTGCTTTAGACTTGGAACGAAGATGGTTAAATGAGTCAGAAGATTGTGGGGATCCACACTTTTGTATTTTTTAAAAACACAATTTTTTAATCGAATAGAATGAGTGACGTAGTAAACCAAGGAGGGTAATATTAACTATACAGAGTATTATAAAATTTGATATCCGTAAAGTGATAAAAACTTTCACTGAATTGATAAAACCTAACAGAAAAAAATTTTAGTAATATACATACAAAATTTGACAACAATCGACGCGGTAGTTTAGACGATTATCTCTCTAATAAAAATCAATACAGACGCGGGCAGACGGCAGCCACACAAAAGGAAATGAGAGACCTATGTTTCGCATTCAAGAAAAATTAGCGAGTTGCCCGATGGATTCGATTACAATACTTCCTTAGTTTACAATCGAGAAGTAAAAAGTCTGTTTATTCAAAAAATAATTCGATTCATATCATACCGTTCGACCAGAGAACTTTAATAAAGCAGTATTTTCTTACAATCAACAGGTTGTTCTAACCGGTAATAGATTGTAGATAGCATTTTTACTTTTTTGGAGTTTGGTGGAGTGTAATAAAAATTTCAGTACACTCTGTGGAAAACAGCGCCACTTTACGCCTTAAAACGACTGATTCCTGGCGAAAATGAAATGTTTCGAGTCATTTTTGTACACATTTGGAATTCAAAGGAAAGTTGTATTTTTTCTCCAAAACGTAACCAACCTGAACGTGGGTTGTTCCGTCCGGTAAATCCTCTAATGCAGACGTAGTTGCTCGCAAAGGAATGATCCACACATAATTCTTTTTTGTCGGTCCTTTTACATCGGTACGCTAAGCAATTTAGTACGTGTAGGATCCCCTGTCAAATACATTGGGCCTTTCTAATATTTATTTGTTTATCATAAGGTCCGACACCCATTTATTATGAGTTCAAATTTATATCTCCGACTCCATCCTCTCTTCTGCTGCGATTATTCCGGTTACGTAAACACCTGGAAAATAGATTGCACGTTTAAAGCGCCCCTAAGACTGGCTTTATGGCTAAAAATTTCCTCAGATAAATCTTGATAAATAAATTTTCCGGAACTTTTTCAGCAAAGCGCCGTTATGTTTTCACGCAATTAAAAGTTTCCAGATAATGCAGTAAATAGGACATTGCCACCACGCGATGCAATAAAACAACGTATTATGTTAGTGTAGGTTGTAACTTTCGAAAATGTGAAATATCGCGGAATTCTTACTCCATGAAAAACGATTAGGTTTACTGCGTTATATACGAGTATTTCCTCGCTCTGAGTGTGATAAAATATGTGCATTTTAGGTATGCCGCTCCTCTCGCCACTATTTCTTACTTATACGTAAGAGTTTCGCAAGAATTGCAGAGTCAACAGAGCTCCCTGACTGACATAAAATTCGAAAACCGGAGCAGGGAAGGACGTTCCAGGACCGATTCGCACTCGACGACAACGGATTTCCGGTAAGCCTAAACAAATTTACTTTCTTGATATTCAAGTTGACGTCTCCGTTGTTTAATTGTTGCCTTGTGAATGCATCATCTTCGAGGAATACTAAGACGGGGAACATTAGATATTCCATTCGACGAAATCTAAGATCAATAATCTAACTTTACGGTAGTTTCCAAAGTGGTCTGTTTAACGACAAACTATATCTCGAACTACCTTGGAATATGTTCATTCATCCAAGTGAAAGTTTTGTGTATAACGTTCCAAAGCGCTAAACCGCCTACAATAATTGTTACTTCGCGGCTATGCTTCACAGACGAGGGAGTTTCAAATCATTTAAATGTTACTCCAGTTCTCGTCGTTATCACTGCAATAATGCACTCGAACCAGAATGAGCCCCTCACAAATCAGGCCACAATACGTTTATTTCCGAAAAGCAAGTAATCTCAGCTTTTTATTCGTCGTTTTGGCAATTCAAACGTCGATAAGAACGTGATGTGTGAACAGGAACGAGAATCTTTCATTACCAAAGTCATTTCAGCCATGGAAAAGTCACTTTATCATTTGTACGGAATCCTCTTTTTATCATAATTGCCCAGTAATGTGCTGCACTGGAAAACTTACGACCGAGAGAAAAAATTTGTGTAAAAATTGGCCACATGTGGGAACATCATTTACTCAAAAAAAGCGAACGTTGCTAGAAAAAACCGAAGCGTTTATTTGTGCTGACAGTATTCATTTGCTGAAAAAGGGGAAAAAATATTGACGTGATTGAAAGTTCTCATTGTTCTGGCTCGTAACGCGTTCATATTGTTTACCCGATTTAAAGAAGGGAAAAAAAGGCATTGTGTACTGATGGGTCGTCAGTATTTGAATATAAATTAGCTGTGTTTCCATTTCGGCCACGTTCTGGTTCGCAAAGAGAATCTGCTGGATATAATTATTTACGGTGAACGTGCTAAGATAAAAATCTAATTTTGAAATAAACATTAGCGGACTTTAATCCACGGAAACAGTAATTTATTCTCAGACATCTTGTTTTTCCAATTAGTTTTTTAGCATTATTCGCTTTCGGGAAGTTTAAAGGAATTGCAACCAGATGTTTACGAAAATGCGGTGTTTTTGGGGTTTTAAGCTATTAAAATGCCAAATGTGGCCAGAGCACGGTGGAATGCACACTGGAAAATCTTCCAAGAAAACAGTGGGGGTTTCAGAAGACACTAATTTAACGTTCGAATCTAAGAAACAGTGATCATAAAATCGCGTCAGGTTTTTATCGATTTTGGCATAGCATGTACCATGTTCTTTATGTTTATGAACGAAAAATTTATACATACATACATATATATTGGTTCCAACGATTCCATTTAAGTCGTCTATCAAATAATAATTCTGACTCTATATCCTAAAATTATACATTCAGCATGACATGTCGCTCGAATTTATCATGCGTCAGTAGCTAGATTTTGGTCCCAGCAAAAAAAAGAAGACAAAAAATAGATCGATTGCCATCCTTGTACATTGTATTAATTAAAGTCTACATTGAAACTTTTAACAAACTTGTAATCCGACCCAAGGAAACGATCTTATTCCTCATCGACGAATTAAATTTAAACTTTAGTCGGATCTATCTGATATCCTGATTTTTTACAAGTACACATAAAAACCATCACTTAGAAATACAGACTTTTCTTCAAATGTGATTGTGTTAAGTTAGGAATAGTGCAGTGTTTTAACTTAAGTTGTACGCATTTTGGTAATAATTTTAAGCGCTACATTTGAAAATATAGGGGATCTTCCTGGTTTGCTTATGCTAATCTTGTTTAGGTCTTCCTCTTTGGCCGTGTCCATCAGGAAATCCATTTGTACAGTATTTAACCTTTCTTCGAGAATTCGGTTTTTATATTTCTTGCTTTGCTTGCACAATTCTTGTTGATATTTCTTGATTGTTATCCCTTTCATTCGAATTTATTTATTAGTTTTCATAGGCCTAGAGCGTCCCTTTAAGGTTAGGTACATGCTGGCTTTCACTCAGTTCCATATTCTACATCACAATATACTCTAACGTTTGTAGTCTTTAAAAAGGTGTTTTGTTTTTGATTGACGTAATTAAATATAGGGTCGAAATGGGTCATGAAAGCGTCCCGCATATGACTATATGGACTTTACTAAATGCCCAAGGACTCACGACAAATACCGCACGCATGTGTATAACTGGTTGCGCAAATAGTTCATGTTTCATTAAAAAATAAAACTAATTTATTACACGTAAAAGAAACAAATGTATTGTGATTAAACGTGACAGTAAATGTTGAAAATGTTTACCATTTTTGTTTGTTTCCAGATTACCGTTAAAGTTGGGTTAGGTAGTTCAGCACTCAGCCAATTATTTATTTTTATTTATACTATTTTGGTAGCATTTTGTTCAAGGCAATATTCACTCTCTTTTTAATTTCAAAAATGTTTTGTAACATCCTTTCGTCAATGCTTTGGATCCATTGTTCTATTTCATGTTGCAACAGGAACTTCTGACTGCTGAGCCAATCTTTGAATATTTCTAATGTGAACCTCTAACGATGTTTCTTGAATTTGCAAATCAGCGGTTACAGAATACACGAACTCTCCGTTTACGAATGTCCCATAACAACGAAACAAAATAAACCATTTTCACGGTCTTCGCTTCCTAGCACAAAAACAAAATTTTCGTACGCAAGTATCAACAGTTTTGGACTGTTTTGTGCTTTTGAGCTTGAATTAACGAGAATTACTTGAAAAAGTGGGAACTGTCATAATGAGGTGTAATTTTTTTTTTAAGTTTACCATTGTCATTAATCGTCTCTTCTCAAAACTCTTTGCCTGTAAGTTTAACGTCTCCGCTTCAGCTTTGCCGCCTGGGAGGCCACAGGACGACCTTGACCCGCTTTTTATTTCATTAGACCTCACAAGTGGAGATCAGCTTTTCCGGCTAAAGTATTCCTGAAGTTGGCACCCGAGCAACTGCTCCCGTAGAAGGCGCTAACCCCGTGGTGCGAAAGTGATATACGTCAGAAACCCTACTACGATATCAGCGAAACCCATCACCGTCATCGTCACCGACTCTCGGGTTTTGTCTCCTATTTCTCATCAGAGGTCGGCCCAATCCACTCGTCATTATATGCTCGTGCGCTGTTCCAACACACATAGCAAAATTGAAGTAAATATACTAATTCCCTTCTTGGGTGTTACCGTGCATTTCTTCACGAGGTCTTCGTGCCCTTTTCGCTTTTTAGACTTTCTGTTCTTTTTTCTTATACTGAAAAAACTCACTGGGAGGCTGTAATCCAACGGTCCTTTTTTCGATCTGGTGAAACACCTGTCAAAATTTAAGCCTTACCAGCTCAACTGACACCAGATGTTGTAGGCATAAAATGGGAAAAGTCAACCAAACCCAAGATTTATGTGAAAGCCTTCCATCTCACATTGCACTCACAATGGGACTATTCATCACCATACTGACACTAACATCTGTAACACGATTTGTTTAAACGTCTACCTAGTTAGAGAAAGTAACGAATGTTTGGATGAGAAGACAATTCAATGACTTCCATCCAAACACTCGATTCCCAATTCCATTTCCAATACGGATGATAAGCCCCAACTTAATGACAACTGACAGGTTCGGGCGACCTCTCGTAACAAGTAGAAGATGAGATCTTTGTGCAATGGATGTGATCACTTTAAAAATTATACGTGGAAATGAGTAAGTAGCGGTACTATCTAGTTAGATAAAGAAACGAGTGTTTGGATGAAAAGACTAACACAATCAAGGTCGAACGTTATAAAATCGTTTGATAATAATTTTTCTTGGGCTAATATTTGAGAGAGCGATGTCACGTCTCCTATGATCTTTTTTTTCGATTCATACACGGTTATTATCACTAATAAGTGACCTTTTATATCTAATTCCATTTTCAAAAGAGGTTCGTTTCTTTCTTCCCACTTTTTGATATTCTTTCTCCACTTCTTAGGTATCACAATTACTACACCTGCACGAGTGCTTCTGTGCTTCTCGACACCACTATACTGTTATAGGTAACTTCTTTCTTCTGCGTTTCCTTGTCCTTTAAGCTTGTCCAGGAGTTAATTTTTTTGTAAAACCGTCTTGTAATTTATTTTTAAACATTATCCGTAAGATTGTTTTATCCGGGTAGCTGGTGGCAAGAAATAATATTGTTAGTATTATTTTTCCGGCTCTAAAACCACACCGGTGCTCCCTCCGCGGAGATGGAGCTGGCCCCCGAGCACCGCCGCTCCCGAGCGAAGGCGCTACATTTAGTGGCGTGAAGTTGACATCATAAGCCTAGGTTAGCCAGACATATTTCTGTTCAGCGGCACTAGTAGGCCCAAGGCTTGGCACCGAGGCACGCCACCCCCACGCGTTATCGGCCAAATTCCGGACCGTCACCGTTTTCCGGAGTTTCGCCGCACCATGTACCGAAACTTATCATCCTATTTAAAACAGATAAAGTAATCGATATCTGATTATGACTTAAAGTTTTTAACTTCCTTGAAATTTTTACGTATGATCACAACGTTTTAATTATGATATTCTGAACAACAACCACCATATTTTAGATCTCGTATTTTTTAATTTTAATATCTCAGTAGATAAAGCAAACAGTCCTGTAGTTACTGAGGAATTGCATCATCCAGGTCTTTCTATAAGTTTTATACAGGGTTAGTATAAAGTCCCGGAACGGTCGAATAAGTTCGCTATTTGAAAAGTTTTTTTTTTTTAATTTGCTTTGTATATGTAGTTAAACATGGCGACTTGATTACAACATTTTTCCTTTTTCATCGATCCCGGTTTGACAGACAGGGCCGCCTACTTTTTTTTAATGGAACACCCAGATTTCTTTAACAACTTTCTGAAGCAAAATAAAAAACTACTGTCAGAAATTATCAACATGTTTATTTCTACTGATACAAAAAATAGAAAAAGGTTCACAAAAAAACACCAAATATTGTAAAATCATACATAATTCATCTAGACATTTTGTTGACCGATTACATCACTGCAAAATTGTAAACGGAGAACACTTTGAACATTTATTGTAGTCCCACTCATAGTTTATTGTTGGACTTTTCATGGGTACATGCCATAAAATTGTGAAAAAATAAAAGCTCCACCGTACGAACTTTTGCCGGCTGATTTTAATAGACGTACTGCAGATGGTTTCTTGAACACCTCAATGATGATAACTTGCTGGATTTAACATTCTTTTTTGACGAACCTTGGTTTCACCTCTCTAATACTGAGTTTCTGTCAATTTGAATCACAATTATGAGATTTTGTTGTGAAGGTTATGTTAACTCTCAAAATATGAAATATGGGAGTGCTGAAAATCCACACGTCTTTCGTGAAACACCACTCCAACTTGTTAAAATTGGTGTATAGTGCGCCATATCTCGCAGACTTATCATTGGACCCAAATTCTTTGAGAAAACTGTAACAGCACAAAGATATCGAAACAATATCCTAACTGTTTTTGTTCAAGAGTTACAAGATGATGAACTCCAAGACGGATTTCTTCAACATGACAGTGCCACGGCACATACAACAGTAGACAATTTGAATTTTTTACGTGAATTCCTTGATGATAAAGTGATAAGTTTACACTAAGTTCCTGAGTCCCCCCAAGGTCACCAGATTTAACCCCTCTGGATTAATTCTTGTTCAGTCATCTAAAAAACACTATTTTCAAAACTCCCATTCACACCATAGAAGAACTGAAAGACAGAATTACCGAAGAGTGTGCTCGCATTACACGTGCTACACTACAAAATGTGGTTAATAACATGAAAACACGTCAATTTATGTATACAGAATAATGGATACCATTTCCAACAGCTTTTTTTAACTTTATTTTCGCCTTTTAAGTAAACTTATTCACAAATCTGCAGAAGTTATTTCCTTTCACTAGCTTTTCTAGTTTTCAACAAGCAAAAGCTAACCTTTAGTTGTAAATTTATTTATGTCCGTATGCAACCAACATTACACATGTGTTTATTTAATTGCATAATCTGAAACGTGATCCCTTGTTCTCTCCAAACTAGAATATGGTATTGTGATTTGGTATCCACTTTATGAAGTAGGTACATTGTAAGAACCTGGAAACTATTCAGCACAAATTCCTCAGACTCCTGACTCTTGTCCAAAATGGTGTTTACCCATTTTGTGTATTGCTGTCATGATTTAACTTCACATCACTTAGTGTTCGACGTAACATTTTAATGATACGGTTTCTTTATAACTGGCTCAATAAAAACATAGACTGCTCCGAATTATTGTCTAAATTAAATTTTCTCATTCCAAGAAGTTGTAATATCCCTCAGCATTTCCTATTTTATAATCCACAATCTCGAACTAACGTTTTAAGCAAGTCTCCTGTATTCGTAATGTGCACATTGTTTAACAAAGCAGCAAATGTATGTTTTTGTTTTCCGTAATTCAGTTAATAGCGTATCTTCTATTATTCGGAAAATATCCTAGTTTTTAGACTATAAATTTAACCGGTTTTCTAATTTTTGCTTTGGTTTTATAATTGAGTTTACCGAATTCTATTTTTATTTATTTTTAGTTCGTTTATTATTATCATTTCTTAACATGGCTTCCTTAGTCGTGCAAGATAATGAAGTAAAAGTTGAAAGACCTGGATCTTCAGAAAAAACTTCCTTAATTAACCGAATACCTCCTATCTGTGTAGACAAGACAACCGTATACACTTTAATTTTTGACATTAGCTTATTCCGAGAGACCAAACTTTTCTACATTCTTAGAACTACCCACCCAAACTTGTTCAAAGCCAGCAATTTGCGTGAAAGCACGTCAACTTTTCAGTTATTAAAAATTCTTGTATAAGCTAATACCGAAGTTTCAGACATCATGGAAACAATATTCGGGCGTCAACTCGCGTTAATACAGTAAAAAATGTCGCAAGGAAAACCAATCTTGCGGACGAGCGTCGTTCCACTTAAGTTTAACTGCAACTGTCAGTTATTGTGGCAATGATAAATTTTATCTACTTTCCAGGAGCAGCCGCGGAGATTGTGACCGCTCCAGCCAATACAGCCGCAACAGTTACAGGGATCACGAAAACGGCCGTATAAGATACAACACCGACGAACCGGAACTGGATCTGGCAAAGGAGAAAAGGACGCAGCGCTATCTGGTGCCGATGGTGACTCTGTATGCGATTTATTTATGCCCGCTGATGATCCTTCGTCTGGCTCGATTAGTCCTCCCGGAAACGTACGACAACAACAAAAACTTTGACATTTCGTATACTATGTTCGTGTGGGTGGCCTTCGCGCCCACCTGTTCCACTCCGGTTCTTTACGCCTTCTGGCAGATGAATAGGTGAGCATTTGTGTGGTAGTTGTGCTGGGTGTTGAAGTTCAGTGCACAAACCGATAGGGCAATGGCTTATCACCTTATCAGTATTATTAGCATGTATTTTGACGGCTAGACCTTTTCTATATTGGTATGATGAGGAGTTGTCAAGTAAACCCTCTGCACGTTAGATGCTTGACGCTGTGAACAAACAGATTAGCAGTAGTTTCTGAAAAATAGAAATACGTTTTATGTGAACATTTCCCCCTTAAGACGAATTGCCTTTACAATGTAACTTTGATGCTTTATTTGGACTATTTTCATTGGAGTTCAAACCTGCTCTTTAAAAGGCGATTCAGAAGCAATTCACTTGGGGAACTATTTGTCAATGAAATTTATTTAACTCGGTTGTAGACGCCCTTGCGAAATTACCGGAGTTCCGGCCGATTTCAGCGGATGTCCTGTTTCTTCCGACACACGTTAAAAGCTATGTTGTTGAAATGTTGCTGCATTTAAATAAAGCATCTGTTAAGCACAAAACTTAATTGTTAAAGAGAGAATTTATCTGCACTACTTTATGCAATTTACTTCCGGCAGCCCGGAAAGAAAGATATTTTCCATTGTAAAATTATGTCTTCTGTCTGTTATTTTTCCTGAAATATTGAAAGCGTTGGTTTGAAAATTTTTAATTAACTGCACAGATTCAATTAAAAGCGTGCACTCTGTTTCTGAAACAAACTGATAATTCGTTTTAATAAAAGTAAAATAGGTTGTTGAAATAGGTTCAGGATAATCATTAATCCTTGAATTTATTGTTCAGTGTCTAGTTATGATTAAATTAGAAATATTTCATCAAATTATTCACTCCATCCTTATTTGCCAACATCAGACATGAAATACTGTATGCTTAGTCGACATGTACCTATTTAAACTTTTAGGACTTGAGACAAACAATGACTGAAGATAAACAATAAACAAAACTGGCTATTCTGAACTACAACAAATAAATTTTCAAGTACACTTATTTAGGAAAATACTAGAAAAACCCAAATAGATGTTCTGATATCCTTAAACTTTCGCGAAACGGAAATCATAAATAAATTTTATTGCTCCCTAATAAACCATTTACGGCGACCTGTAAAAGTGCTGACTATGTCAGTAACAGACCTAACTTCGAATTTTACCAGTATTTTAAGAAAAGAGGTAGTTTTTTTTCCAACTGACAAAGTAAAACATAGACAGTGATTGGAACAATTACTTTTAAAAAGTAATGCATTACAATTACTCATTATCCAGTAACAATAGTAATTCATTACAATTACAAATTACTAAATGGCGCTAAATAGAATTGTTGTGGGGCAACCGGGCAACATGTTACATATTTTTCCAAAAATTGAAGAGCCGATTCTTTTGCGCCTAATTTCATTCCAATCTAGCTACAAATAAAAGTTCGATGCCAACTACAACAACTTTTAAACAAAAATTTGCATTGGTGGGAGATTTCAAAATATTTTATTGGCTGACGTGTAAATGTATCGTAAATATTATAATATTATCTTGAGTAAAAAGGATATTCTAAATACATAGAAGGCGGCTACAAGATAATGTAAACTTAAAAGTCTGTTTTTAATTATCTCTTACTTGGCGTTGTGACTTATAGATTAAATTTAGACAATCTTACAGGGTTTTCCTCTCATAAAATTTTTATGTCGGAGTATGAGGGCTTTAAAAGGACTGGCTCTAACGGTTACCTGATATAGATTTGAGTGAACCAGAAAAATGGCTAAAGTTTGTTTGACCACATATTTTAAATATTCTGCCCCTGGTCACTCAATTATTTATTAAGATATTTTATTTCTGTAAATCGCAATAGATTTTTTAATACAATTTCTACTATGTACCATTTTGAAAATTTAAAATTTATTCATAAACAGCGAAAACCAGATAATCTTATACTCATCACAACACAACAAAATTTAAAAAACGCAAAAGCATTCTGGGTGGGCTTCTTTACGGTCATTTCAACGGTTTGAAGTTTATTACAATCGGACGTATACTTTTGGTAAAAACTTGGGCAGAAGTTTATATCTATTTCCCAATGCTGGAATATGCTTTAGCGACCCTTAAAATGATGAAGAGCTTATGTATATTTTGGTTACCTGGTTTCCTAACAAATTTAGGAATTCGTTACAATTACTCATTACATTACTTGAAAAGAAACTGAATTACTTGTAACTGAATTACTTCCAATCACTGAAAACATATGTAAACAGACCGACAAAAATGCAATGGATGGTGAATATATGCAAAATATGCAGTAATTAATCTTCATCAATCAATTTAAAAAGGTATAATTCAAATATAGACTAAAGCATTTATTTGTCATATTAAAAATATGCTCCTTATTAATTGTGAAATGCAGTGAGCAATTAAAAAATTGAAACCTCATACTTGGCATTCAAATGTCTGTAATCTTTTTGAAAACTGATTTGAGATTTCGTTTTTAGTATTAATTATAACTAATATTCAAAGTGTTAGATGGAACATCAGTAAATATAAATTTTCTCTTACACCCCCGAGCCATCACTTTATTTTATGCATACTTTTACGCTTCCAGGAACCTAATTTCTCCAGAGTTTAATTTTACTGCAAACTATAGTGCTCTATATAATACGTTTCATGTTTTTTAGATAATCGAACTTCCGAAAATTTGAAATTCTAATAAGTTTTCATTTTATGTTTTGATTTAATCTTGTTATATTGTGAATATTAACTCAACTTTGAAAATGTATTCAGACGTGTAGAGTTTGAAATTGCACTTTCTATAAAACAGATTCGTTCCCTTTAATATTTTGGAACAAACGTGAAGCTTTTAATAATAGGGTATTTTTATAAGGTTGATACAGAGTTTCTATTTTATTTGACATGATTCCGTTAATTTTTTTCTTCAGTACCGTATTAAAATATCTATTTGATAGTAAACACATTCTTTAATTATTATCACCTCCAGTGACACCGGAAATAAGATCAACTTTTTATTTTTAAACGGAACACACACTATATTTTTTAATTAATGAGTCGTTTGAATTTTTTTCACAAAAAATCAAGAGCAACCAATATTCTAAAAGTAATAATAAAAAGTTGTTTATAAAAATCTAGTAGCCTGAAAAATCGACAACCATGTTTTCATTCACATAGTTTCAGTAAACTTAAATAAAACAAATTTTTTACAGACAATTTAGGTTTTGAATTCCGATTGTTTTACCCGAACGTAAGCTAAGGAAATACAGTATGACCCCTGCAATACGAAAAAGTAGTCTCACGTTTCCGTCTGTCTGTCTGTCTGGTATCTGTATCCATTTTTATTAGAAACGTAATCTCCGAAACTGCTGGACCGATTATTGTCAAATTTTGTATATACATATATTAGAAATATCATGTAGATTGTTAAACGCTAACCAAAATTTGGCTAATCATCCCCACCAACAATTTTTTTGATATAGAAAAATATACTCATACTTGTAGTGTATCCGCTTTCAGTTTTTTCGTTAAACGTTCAAATTTTCGCAAAAACACTTGCAAGATATAATAACGTTGTATTACCAACATGGGATACAAGGCTTTGTAGCGTATAGGGGGTTTCTAGGGAAACGGCGACCGGCGGTCGCGGGTTCGATGCCGAAATTGTTCCTTTACTTTTTTTTCTTGCACTTGTCACGTGCTATGACTTGTTTCCTTTTGTGCTATGACTAGTAGTACGCACGTCTTTATATAATAATGATAAAATAGGAATTATATTATTCAAACATTTTGTTCAATTGTGGTTTAATTAATAATTTTAGTTCTATGTTTTGAGAAGACAAACTGAATCAATTCAAACTAATTTCTACGTGACATTCTTTCAATGCATAAACATAAATAAACACTTGAGCTTCAGGCTGATATTACCTAGTGCTGAAGGATATTTTATCCTGTTAGTTATGTGCTTTAAATATATTTTACATTGTCCATGCGGGAGTGTTTTTATGCCGTTGGTTTTTACTATACAGAGGTTATCACAAAACGAAAATCGTAAAAACAAATTTTATCATTTTTTTTAAAGAGCTGGATTTGTCGGATTATACTTCAAGGGCAAGGGAAGTTGTGTCAAAATAACATTCGACCATTTTTTTTTGTTAACATCCGAAGTAGCAGAACAAACTAGAATTAAATTTGAATACAACAAGAGTACAAATATTTCTCACAACAAATTTTCAGAGATGTTTCCATTTTGTTTGACACACATTTCCGCATCTCTACGAATGAGGTACTCGACGTAAATTGCCATCATGTTCGGTGATATTTGTAAATCTTCTGTTTTTCACTTTAAGCTGACCTGTTTTTTAAATTATCAATAATTTGTTCCAAATATCTCCGATAGTGTTTTTCCTGTTTGGGTATAATTCGTTGAACTTATTTTAGCAAGTGTGGTTCAAGCTTTCGTTGCATTTCCCATACAACAATATCATCAAAAAATGCGGACAATCTTTTTGTTAGAAATGTCGAACTGACAGATGAAACACTTATTTTTCAACCAACTAGAACTGAATTAAGTAGATAATTTTTGACTTATTTTACTAACTTTTTAATTATTTGATTTGTTGTAATAAAAAAATCAAACTTTCCATTTATAGAAAAATATACCGGATATTTTGTAAAAAATGAAGTTGGTGTCGTCTCCGGTTCTACCGGAATTGGTAATAAGAGGGTGTACTTACCATCAGACAGATATTTTATATAAATCTACTCCAAGAACTATAGGTTTATCTTTAAAAATAAAAAAAAATACATGGCATCCAATTTTCCGGTTTAATTTAGACTGATCGTAACGATTAACATAACCAAAAATGAATATACATAAAACACAGAAACTTATTTCAATTAAAATAGGACTACTAGCCATCGATGACGTAACAATAGCGGCAACCACAGGTACTAAAATCTGAAAATGCTGATTACCTGAGGTGAAGAAATAGCCAACAAAATCA